TGTTTTTCCGCGACCCCTACGGGTCGAAAAAAAAAAGAATAAAGGTTGGTCACCACTGCAGTACGGTTTACAGGCAGTTGGCACGGACATGGACGTCGACACGGACAAATCGACGTTACTCGGTTTCGAAAACGAACGGGAACAGATCAATTGTACGTAGGCACGTTGCGTGCGCCGCAGCACTCGTGTATCGTAATGTAGTACGTCGTTATCTTGTCGCACTATCGTTCTGTTAATAAGTTGTTATTGTTGTCCCCGTACTTCGAAGCCGTGTCCGGAGAAAACGAATGTTGTTCAAGTGTCGTAAAATAAAATTTGAAATAGTAAAAAAACCGACGCGACGCAATTACGTACACAATAATCGTATGTAAATTGAAATAGCGCAGTATGCCGACGACTGGAAACAATGGCGACGGGGACGTAAAAATCGTAGACGGCATTTGCACGTGTGTATTTTTATTTTTTTTTTGTTTTTTCCGCTACCGCTGCCGTTGACACGTGACGATGATGATGTACGTTCACCGAAGTGTTGTAAATGTCAATTATACGTAGTCATCGGTGAACGGATACCGATAACGCGCACGTATCGATCGCTCCCGGACCCCGATCATCAGCCGTTTGCCCCTTACGCGCACCCTTTGGCCGACCGGTTTTCCACACGTGTCCGTGTGTACAACAATAATATAACGCAATATCCGTGCGAATATCGGTTGTCGTTATCAAACACCGCGATTTATCGCGCACGACTTACACAGGTGCGTGAAGTTAGCGGAAAAATTCGAGCACTAATTTCCGCTATAGCACCATTATTTAGTGCTCAATTAGTGCTATTCAATCCTACCTTTTTCGGAATTAGTGCTGTGTTTCCCTCCGAGATATGAGATTTCCCGTATTTCGTCCCAGCGGGTGCAACGTTAGCACCAAAATCCGCGATAGCACAAAATTTTAGTGCTTAATTAGTTCTATTCGACCCTACCGTTTTCGAAATTAGTGCTATACACAGTTAAAAGTTACAAGGGGGCTTACCTTTCTCCGCTAACTTCACGTAGCGGGTGCACCATCATTATCTTTGTATTGTATGTTGTATTATTTCATTTAACGATACTTGAAAATGTATTAAATATTATTTCTGGCTGTTATTTTAATCAACTGTGTAATTTTGATCAATGTAATACTCAATGAAAATATTCCTCCATGATATAGCCCAAAACATGTTATTTTTCTCTCAGTTATGTCGTTTGGATGAACCAATGGCTTGACAGTGTGGGAAGCTTTGACTATATTTCAGTTTATTGGTCTATGATTTAAGCTTATCAAAATATTATGTGATAACATTATTATCGTAATTGTAATAAATATAAACTATCGGGTTTAATCTAAAATGCATAATAAATACACAGTTAATCATAATTAAAAATGATTATAGTAAATCTTACAAAAAATTATAAAATCCAATATTTACCTTGGTGACTTAGTTCAGAGTACAATTAATATAATTTGAATAAAATTAAGGTTAGTTAAATTTGGTATGGTACAATTAAATACAAAACAAATTTAATAAAAAAAAATTATAAGAATAAAAATGATAAAAACATTACATTATACTTCATTACATATACTCTTCAAACTCAGAGTAAAAGAATCATCGATTTATTTTGTTTGGTTTTTTTTTTTTTTTAATTACCAATTATAATTTTATTAAAATGAAAATGCATCTAGTTTACAGTCCAGTATGGTATGAAGTGTATCTTAAAAACACAATTTTAGATTCTGAACGGTTCGTTGAATGTATGTTTTTGTAATGGTATATTCGTGTTTAATTTTATTTATTTATTTATTTTACTTTTTTGGATATGTGTACACCATAAGTAGTTGTAATAATTATGCTTCAATATTCAACTACAGTATCTTGTATGATGGAAAAGTGAGTCTAGTTGGTGTATTAGAAACCGTTGAATAGCACTAATTGAGCACTAAAATGTAGTGCTATCGCGGAATTTGGTGCTGACGTTGCACCCGCTAGGAAGAAATACGGGAAATTTCATATCTCGGAGGGAAACACAGCACTAATTCCGAAAAAGGTAGGGTTGAATAGCACTAATTGAGCACTAAAATTTAGTGCTGTCGCGGATTTTGGTACTGAGGGTGCACCCGCTACGTGAAGTTAGCGGAGAAAGGTAAGCCCCCTTGTAACTTTTAACTGTGTATAGTACTAATTTCGAAAACGGTAGGATTGAATAGCACTAATTGAGCACTAAATAATGGTGCCATAGCGGAAATTAGTGTTCGAATTTTTCCGCTAACTTCACGCACATGACTTACACGCGTGCACACCGGAAACCAGTTTGTTAGGAATCATTGCGAACCCGTCAAATCGATCGCATTCTTAACAATCGTTATTTATTTCGCTTAATCGTTTCCGTCGGGGACGACGTGAGCCCGAAACGAAAATGAAACGGTACACGATTTTCGCGCCCATCACCCGAAGAAAGATGCACTACTACCCCGTGCATGTTGTCACGAATCCGTACCATCATTGCAGCAGTGTGTATTTAATCGTTGAATACGTATTGTACGCGTATACGAGTGCATCTGTTGGGCGCCGTTGATGTAAACTTATAATACTCTAGTGTCCTAATGGATTGGTGTTCTTGCGGCACTATTATGATTTAGAGCATGATTCGACAACTGGCGGACCGCGGTCTAGATCCAATACAAATCTAATACTCTTGGACCCTGTCAACTTTTATTGTCATACTTTTAATATTGTAATTTTTAATATAAATTAACTATAATAACCAAATAATTATTTTTATTTTTATACTAATATTTTTAAAATATTAAGATTTAAAAAATATTTTTTTCACTGGACCTCATTGATTACTATTTTAAACTTTAGGACTCCAATGTAAATTACTTGCCGACCCCTGATTTAAAGTGTACATGTACGAAATATTTAAATAAATTGCGTGCGTTCGGTTCAACGTTCAAAACATATCGATAATTGTTTATTAATCATGATTTCGGAAGAATAATGACTGTATTGTTTAACACGCTTCCACGTAGTCTCACTTGTGTACCGATAATACGTCGTGGATTCATCGTCCCGTAATCGAAACGGCGGTACGGTGTTGTGATTCAAACTCATTCCTCTGCCGCTACGATGATTCGTAACTTTGAACACAAACACTGTTAATGAGTACCATAACGGACGCATCTGACTGCACCAAATAAAATATTAATCCGAGTGAACCTTTACCACGTATATAATATCGTAATGATCAGACGCGTATACAATGGAGGGGAGTCAAAAATCCTCCCCTCGACATTCAGAACAATTATTAAATATGTTTTTATAGAATAGAAGTGGTTTATGAATTATATAAATATGAAAATGTGCAACCTAAATCACCCCCAATTAGGTTTTTGTGTACGCGCCTGGTAATCGTAGTATAGATTCTACTAAGCGCGTGAAAACACCCAAGTGTGACCTAACGGTGATCGACTGTCTTTATTATTATTATTATTATTATTATTACCACTATTACTATTCGACTCCCGTTACTACTGTGTTGTACGACATACATATAAGTAACAGCTACATACGAGTATTACATTATATGTATAGGTCTGCTGATTAAGTGGAAACGTTCATCACGAAATTTCGTGTCGTCATAATCATTATTATTAATTTTTAAGAATTTCTTATTAATTTGAACGCGTACGACGTTCAATCAGTTCACTTTGAAACGGTTTTAACGAGACTTGTATTGGTTCTGCGAATGGGACGAAAATTGTGTAGGCTAAAAAACCTACGTAATAATTTAACTGATGTTGGGCATGTAAGAATTCCGTTCTTGCCGGAAATGCCATTTTATAGATTTAATATTAACAAGCGTACTTTTTTGTGATATAAACATTTTACTACGTTATATACCTATTTCGGTAAACTAGATGAAATCCATTATTTATTTAGATTGTATAAAATCAAATAAAATAATCGAAAAAAATAGTTATTTATTTATAATACCTATTTTGAAAATTGTAAAAAAAGTTATAGTTAATTATGATCGCGCTGATTACCACTTTCAGGTTATAAACTGTTAGACTGTCGTATAATAATAATATACAGTACGTGAAATTTTCACAAAAATATTTAGGATCGTAAATCTGCACAAGAACTCTTTAAGTATCGCTCATATAATATTGGTGTTGTACACTATAATTTTATATTTTCAATTTTTACATCGACTTAGAAAGACGGGAATCCGATTTATATTTAATGTTTTATGCATCGCAGAATATTTTTTTCCCAAAAATATTAATATTATTATAATAGTCTAAGCAAGTGGGATTCGATGCCCACGTCCGTTATTAGGTTTATTTTCAAATTCATTAACAAACGACGCGATAACAATTTTCGACCTACGTAGCAATTACCGAATGGCGGTGATGATTTTATTTTATCGTCCCTGTCACACGCATCTGGATCATAACGTTGAAGAATTACGAGCCGACGAAAGGTAGACGATTCCCGGGTGGTTGGACGGAAGGTGAAGAAATACATTTGAATGAAAAATACATCATGATTGTTAGATTTTTATGCAATAATGATAAACTAAATTATTTGTCGATATCGTAAACCAGTTTCTTCATTTATGTTTTATTTTATTTTTTTTTTTAAATGCGCCCACACGGCGCCTGATGTGGTAATCGTACGATTCGCGCCGGCGCCGTAAGGAATTTTTCGATTTTTGCGTACACTCCGACTTCGGGAATAGAAATTTTTGGGCAATCCACCGATTTCCCACAGTACCGAACTCAGTGAACTAATTTCATCGTCGTTATCTATAAAGCGGCTGGATTCCGTGGATGTTTACCGAACATGTGTTCGAATGTCCTTGCGCCGTACCCATACGCTTGTTATTTATATACTCATTAAAAAATAAATATATATATATTTATAAAGAGGTCACGATTTTTTCTTTTTTTCACAACAGAGACAACATATACCGTCTGGATTTGGAAGATTTGAAAAAGATCGAGGCCGCCCAATGGCCTGCCCCGGAGAAAAAGGTCGAGATGTGTCTGGTGAAAGGCCAGAGTGCCGACAACTGTCACAATTACGTCAAAGTTCTATTGTCCGCGGGCAAACGGTTGTTCGCATGCGGCACCGGAGCATTTTCGCCTCAGTGCACGTGGAGAGAGGTAAGTGTATAAGGGTTTGACGGTATCCAAGGAGTATGGGAACATTTTAAAATAACTGTGATAAAGGAAAAAATGTGTTTCCTTAACGTCTTTTAACAAATATAAAACTTATACGAACGAATAATAAATAAATAATTGCCGTAAATACATGATATTAATAACGTTTAGCAGTGCAATAATGGTAAATATTTTAGATTACGTTTTCAAAAAAAAAAAAAAAAAATTATATTTTTTGACTTCTGTGAAAGTTATTTCAAATTTTTTCAATTTTTCTGAAAGACTTGGTACATCAATATGCCATTATTATTCCGTCGTTGTTCCCGATGACTGTTAAACTGTTAGCCCGCGCGCAAAGTGCTCTATACTCCATGGCCGTGTGCCGTAAAACTAGTTTCGAGTTTATAACGATGCGTTAAATAATGATATACGTCGAGCAACGATCGGACGGCCGTGTGATCGATCATATTTCTTCCATCTTTTATTATTTTTTTTTATATATATACGTGCGCCACTCGTGGATTATTTTCGCCCGACTGGAGTTAACAATTGTTTTATTAACATCGCAGTCGCATAAAATTCGCACTCGCGTTTATCTGATGTCGATTGTAGTTAAAAAATGTTTATGGTAACGTTTTTTTTTTCCATTTTTATTACTCGCGACCATATATACTCTTCTACGTCCTACTTATATTTTTTCTCAGTCGTTGTGATGTGATTTCCAAACGTACAATCACTCCGACGTACAGCGAAAAATAATAATAATAATAATATGTGAGAAGAATAAAATAAAATATATAAATGTAATAATTTATTTTCCAACAGTCGGCCGCTATTAAAACTGATAACGTTTATTACTATAATAATCCGGAATCGCCTTTGGCCATATTTATACATCTAATCCCGTGTGTTCCCATCGTCCGATAGCGCATTCGGTCAATTACAATACATCAATGTCAGCGTGGCAGCGTTTTATTACTCTCCCGGAGGGGGGAGGGGGAACTTCTTCAGCTCCTCCCTGCACGTGCGTCGATCGACGAACTAAACGTGAGACGTTTACCCCGATAATATTATACCGTGTTTCGCGCAGATGGAAAACGCCAACAACATCACCGAGACGGTGCGTGGGGTGGGCAAGTGTCCGTACAGTCCACTGTCTAACATCACGGCCATGATCACGCTCAACGGCCAATACTTTGCGGGCAGTCCGATGGATTTTTCCGGCGGGGACTCGGTCATCGTCCGGGATTTGGGCGCCTCGTATCTGAGGACGAAAAACTACGACGCCAAATGGTTGAACGAGCCCCAGTTCGTGGGTTCGTTCGAGACCGACGCCTACGTGTACTTCTTGTTCAGAGAGGCCGCGGTGGAGTACATAAACTGCGGCAAGGTACGTTCACGAAAATATTATAGTTTTTCTTTCCGAACGGGCAGAAACCAACGTGTGCCCGGGTCCGTATCAGGTTCCGACTCAACAATATTCGTATTACGGACGTACGTTGTAATTGTTTTGTTTTAGTTTTTATAATATCGTTTGAAAACATCGTCTCGCCGTTCTGATCGAACCATTTTGACGCCTCTGCTTTTTTACTCGAACAAAAAACGTTTCAACTGTAGACTATGTAATGGGCGCAGTGGTTCAAAATTAGCTTTAACATTGTAAACATTGTATATCTTAAGTGTTCATTGTGTCGTTTAATCCACTTCGACTTCAGCAATATTCATGTTTATTAAAACATACGTATTTTCTATTTAAGATAGTAATATTTTTTATTACTATCCAATATAATAATATCATAAGGTCAAATGTATGGATTATATAATAATTACTCAAGTTGATGATAGGACTACTCGATTATTGTAATCGGTCTTCAAGTGAAAATTATACCTTGTCTTACGAGACGTATGCACGGATACGAATAGAATAATAGTTATTGAAATGTTCAAAATGACGTTGCAGAGGATTTACTCGAGAATCGCCAGGGTGTGTAAAAATGATGTGGGCGGACAGACCATACTGCGAGACAACTGGACCACGTATATTAAGGCCCGTTTGAACTGCTCGTTGCCCGGTGAATATCCGTTTTACTTTGATGAAATCCAAGGCATGACCTATCTGCCGGACGAAGGATTAGTGTACGCCACATTTACTACGCCCAGGTAATGCCGACGCTTTAAGAATATTAATTTGAAAATATATATTTGTGGTGTTTAGTACTATTATGTACCATCGTTTATTTAATTTTTATTTTTTGTGTCTACAGCAATGGTATAGCCGGATCGGCCGTGTGCAGCTTCAACCTCACTGCTATAAATGCGGCGTTTAATGGACCGTTTAAGCATCAAGCCACCGTCGGCTCGGAATGGGTACGGTTCAATCCACCGCATCAACTCAACCACGGACACTGCCAAAGGCAGGATCCGAATCAGATACTTGACTCGTCGAGGTATTTGACTTATTGTTATTGTTATCGATCGTTATGTTATTGCAATGCCACTTATGAGTTTATTTATTACAATCGCATATGAAAATATTTAAACATGGATTGTTCCGATACAATATAAATACTTCGACTGCGATCGCGAGTCATTGCGGTATTCGTTATTTTTATGCAAATCAACTAATTTATATTAAATTATTCTCCTGCTCTTTCAGTTCTCAATTCGTCTCATTACATCAAAGTATACCTAATATTATGGTGTAGTTATGTACCTGTTTCCTTGAGTCGATTTATACTTGGAATAATTTCTCATATGATGAGATTTCTTTTATCGGTTGTGTATCTAAAAATTAAATTTAGAAAACTCGAAATAAAATACACATTATACGAACGTGTGAGTTATTTATGATCTACTTGAGGACCGTTCTAATTGCATTTCAGTCACACAAACAAGTTTTTATTTAATATACGATTTTACGCGTATACGAATACTCTATCAAATATTTTCATGATTGACATAACCAAGAGATAAAAGTGGTTTCGGACGTGTTACATGTTAGTAACTCAATTTGCGTCTTGAGTGTTTGATTTACGTTTATTATATCGTTTATTATGTATAACGGGCCGTGACGTTTGATGCCGGAGATGATATGCGTGTAAACTGTGTTATATGTTTCATCAAGTGTTGCGCTCATAGTACATAATTGTATGTTTAGATACCAACTGATGGACAATGCTGTGCAGCCCTCCACGATGGAACCATTGTACTACAAACCCTTGGAGATCTTGACGCATATCGCTGTGGACGTTGTGCCGACAAAACCGCATGGTTCGCTGAAAGTCTTGTACGTGGCTACCACCGAAGGGACCGTAAAGAAGATCACGATCCTCCCAAAGACTTCGGTTACTTGCACATTAGAAGAATGGAACATATTCCCCGAGAGTTCTAGTTCTTCGATCATGGCATTACATTATTTGAAAATAACGGTACATGCATATTACAACTGTTTTTGATTCGGCGCGAACATTAGAGTCAATATTTATTTTAAACTTAGTGTTCCGAGGAGGTATTATACAGTTTCTGGGTCTTTGATAGTTAATAGTGCTGTTATTTCTAACAAATCTAATTATATATTACATTTCAAAAAAATATTACGATAGACACAATTAAAGTTGCTCACTTTTAATAACTTGGAAAGTTCGATCAGTAGTGGGATATTTTTATGAGTAAGTGTCAAAGTTCGTGGTAGTAAATGAGTTCTATTGTAGATACAGCGGAATGGTCTTTTGATTTTTTTTGATAATTTTCTTTTAAAAGATATTGATGAAAATAATATTGTGGCGTTGATAAAATATGAATACTTAGATGCAATAACTAAGCTATAGTTGGGAGAGTACATTAACTTGGAGATCCCCCATTATTTGTGAGTTGGTTTCCCAAAATAAAACGACGTACTTTAATGTATACTACGGGTATTTCATACAGGACTCGATATACGTGGGTACACGTGACCAGGTGCTAAAAATCCCTGCCCAGCACTGCGGCCGGCACAGGAGCAAGGAGGCGTGCATGAATGCGATGGACCCGTATTGCGGGTGGAATGAGCACGTGGACAAATGTCAGCCACCGACCAACGGTAACATCTTGGAGCACAACTGGAGGCAGGACGTCACCAAGTGTCCGGACCGGTCAAGGCCGATCGACGGAGGCTGGTCCAGCTGGTCGGCTTGGACCGCGTGCACGCAAAACTTCAACGGAAAAGAGTCTACCGACCAGTGTTTGTGTTCGAGTAGAACGTGCACGAACCCCGAACCCAAATACGGCGGAACCGATTGCCAAGGACCTACGATACAGGTGCGTCGTACGCGACTAGTTTATGCGGAAAATGCACGTTAATTGCATGCGCTGCAGACAACGTATGTCTTGTAAGTTAGGCCTTTTGCCCAGACGTTTATGGAAATAATAGCCACTGTAATAATAATTATTCGCTATTATTTTTATTGCTTGCTATTATTTGGACCATCACGTGCACACATTTTTCTACGAAACCAGAGATTATTGTCTTTCGATTTTTTTTTCTTTCTCTCTGTGTGTGGATAATAAAGCCACTAAATTGGTTTTATATGCAAATTTTTCAATATCACGCGGAATAATACCAATAAATACTTGCTCCTTTATGTTTTATTTTTTTTCTCAACCCGAGCGAAAAAATAAATGTTACACAACGCACACGTTTTACGGAATAAAAAAATTCCTATTTAACAACATTCGTTCAAATACACGCAGTTGGTGCCTATATACTATATTGTATATATCACACGGTACGCTGCGAATAACTGCGTTTGAGATTGCTGATAAATTAGTTGTATACTACCGAGAAATTATAATACCCAATACACGTGTACACATGTACTTATATACCTGCACACTGTGGCGTAGCTATGCTTTTTTTTAGGGGTGTGTTTTTTGTAATAAAATGTATTTTGTGAAGGATTTCACACTCATGTAGTCATAAAGAACACTTTTGGACATTATCCTCTGCAGCCCACTATAGATCGTCGAGTAACTATAGTACCTATATTTATACTGTAAACCACGGTTTATATATATATATCTTAAACCGTGCTGTTGACACAAAGTATGTAATTATGAAATAATAATATACTCGTAATTTAACGATAATGATTATTATCACTAGTGCAGTAGATAATACGAATTCCATATGATAGTGTAGTATAAATAATATCTGCACGAGTGCAATAATATGACATCATGAATTATGGAGGTTTCGATACCCATGTGGTATAATATTATTGTTTGAGTGAAGTGTAAATTAATTTAAGCAAATTTAAAACGCTATAAGTGTGAATCGATCGTGATATGACATATGATAAGAAGTGTGCACTATTTAAGAAAAACTTAATTTCAAACCATGGTAGGTGTGTGAATATATGGCAATATGGCATTACAGAATACATTTTACTACAACCAAATGATTATATTCCTGTATTATAAACATATTTTTAAATATATCATATTTTTGATATAAATACGATCAAGGGGGGAGTGTTTTAACACCCAATACATCCCATGGCTACGCCACTGCCTGCGGTGTATAACATGAACACGATTACACGTAAGCTATAACAACATCATTAACGCACATATATTATGAACTTTCGTTTATTTATTTTTCCTTCTCAGGTGACTAATTGCACTGTGCACGGACAGTGGTCCGGTTGGTCGGACTGGTCGGCCTGCACGCAGAGCTGCGGTTCTGCCGTGAAAGTCAGAAAGAGAACTTGTGGAAATCCAGCGCCGGCGTTCGGTGGTCGCGTGTGCGTAGGACGAGACACGGATGAAATGTACTGCCATTCGAATCCCCCTTGTCCGGGTACGATTTCGAAATACGATTTTCGTTACGATCATAACAACCGTATAACTGTTCGATGGGCAATTATAATATCGATTTTTTCCTTTCGGGGTGATTCGTTTTAGTCTCACCGCCCGTCGTCAAAGAACCCGGTTGGAGTGCTTGGACACCGTGGGGCAAATGTTCGTCCAAGTGCGGTGGCGGCGTCCGCATGAGGTCGCGGACCTGCAACAATCCACCACCGCAGGAAGGTCAGGATTGCGTCGGGTGTCCCGAGGAGTACGAACTGTGCAACCAGAAACCATGCGTAGATGTCGGTAGAAAGGTATCGTCGTGGACGCCGTGGACGCCGGCCGGCAACGGTACGCACAAAAGGTACAGGTTCTCGTGCCGGTCGCAGCCGGATCAATCGACAATAAATATTATGCAGGACAAAGAGGAGAGCAGATTCTGTCAAGACGGTTCGTGTCACAGGCTTGGTAAGTTGTTTTCTACTTGAACACATTTTTTTCTGTTCGCTTCATTGTTTCATTTGTTACTGTGCTGTAACAATATTTCCTCCCACGCAGATCAACCTTCGGATTCGGAAGATTCGTGGTCCGAATGGTCTCCGTGGAGCACGTGTTCCGCCGATTGTGGTGGTGGCGTTCAAATCAAAACTCGAGTTTGTGACGGTCCTATTGAGAATTGCGAAGGAGTAGCGAAACTATCCAGGCCTTGTAATACACACAGATGCAAAGGTATTTCATCGATACATATTATGGTCAGTTAAATTGTATTAAACTTATGAAAGGTCGAAAACTTATTTGAATTATTTCTACCGTTAGACCTATATGATCTATAACTTGTTTGTAATATAAAATTAAATTCTAATCTAACAACAGAACGGAACTTTATTTCGGTTTTTTCTAATGAATTGAGTGTTTCGTGGGAAAGGTTTAAGCAAATAATCTGTTGTTACTTTGTTGAATAATGTTCGAAGTCCAAAAAAATAATCGTCAACTATTGTGTATATTACGGTGGAATGCGGTAATTTTTTCTCGGGAAAGACGTTTTATTATCACGGGAATTATGTTTGCACGAAGTGTGATGTATTTTTTTGGAACGCAATTATATTATTTATAATTTCAAAATATTATTTGTACACTATATCAGAGCAAACAGTTTAATTGTAACATGATAACTTCTATGTAAAATTGCACCGATTTGATTATTATATTTTGAAAACACTTATTTACTATCACTTTTAACATAAATATTTGAAATTCGTATCGATGTAATAGTTTAGCTAATTTGAACAGTAGATACTTTTTTTAAGTTGTTTATAAAATCTAATCACATAATAATACACACCTTAAGGAGGGGAAAGAAAAGTGAAATAACCGGGTCTTCGATACTATAATTCATTAGATGTGAATTACATTTCTAGCTACCAAGGAATTCGAGGTATATCTAGGTTTGAGTTTTTGAGTCTATTTTTACCTTATAATACGTCCACTGTAAAGTCAAATTGATACAGATAAAACGTTATTATTTATACATGTAAACCTGATGGTAACGGTTGTCGTTTCAGGAGAATGGAGTTGTTGGACGGACTTTGGTGAATGTTCCGTGACTTGCGGTGAAGGCGTGAGAAAACGCACGCGCAGTTGTATGTTGAAAGGTATGAATGCTGAGGGATGTGAAGGTCCTTCGGAAAGCCACGAGCAGTGTTTCGTGCCTTGCCAGAGCATGCAGAATTTAGGCTGGGATGACTGGTCGGAATGGTCGACTTGTGACAAGGACAACCTGAAACATAGAACACGAAGATGTACCGTGGAACATTGTCCTGGCCCTGCGGATGAGTCTCGCCCTTGTTTCGAAACCAACGAGATCGGTAAGCACAATACAATATAATATCTTGGTAAACGGTACGTTATTTTTGTCAGGGCATTCGTAGTAAAAAATTTCGATCACTTTGACAACTGTCACCAGCACCGGCTGGAGACGGAAGTTACGTGCGATTCGCGGTATATCTACGTGACCATTCGTAATCTTGACACCAGGAATATCGATAAATACTGTTATCTTGACGAGGTCGTATAGGTTGTTGACGTGTCATAAATGTGCGTGTTCGACAGGTTCCAATGGTTCACGATTATTTCATAGCATATATTGTATTAAAAACGACGAGTGGTTATTCTCGAACGAGACCGTACTGTTGTTTAAGAGTCTTACTAAGTGTTAGTAATATACACTTTATTTTTGTTTTTCTGAATTATAGCATTGCTTTTACACAATACACATTTGAGCTTTACATAAATTGCATAGATAAATAAAGAAAAAAAACATAAAATAAAGGTTGGGTTAAGACTCCACAGGGATTTGAAACCGCAAGTAAGACCGTTTGCAGGTCTTGGGACACGAAGGATCGGGTAAAACGTTTCGGGGCTGAACTTTGCACGTGCTCCTTTCGCACTCCTCGCCGCGTGCTCACCCGGACGATATCGTTGCCCTGTCGCGTTAACGTGCTTTTAAATTTTATTAATATTTAATATTTGTCTCCAGTAACCTCGAGTGGGTCCACGTTGCTGGTATGCATCTTGTCGTTCCTGACGGGTGCCACGTTGGCCATTGTCGCGTTCTATGCGTGGCAGAAACGTCAGAAGCCGAAGCTGCCCAGCAGCCCGCACTACATCACCACCAAGCAAAACCCGTACGTGACGGTGCCGATGAAGGACTACCGGACGCCGGCCAAGCGGACACCGTCGTTCACCAAGTCGTCCACGGTGGGCGTGCAACACGCCAACGGCACGCTGCCGAAGCTGTTCAACAAGACGCCGGACTACGAGACGGCCACCATCAAGCGGAATAGCCACAGCCTGGTGAACGGGCACATGCGCACCAACCACCAGGACCTGGAACAGGAGAAGTTCTTCTGACCTGCGGCGTCGTCTCCGTGCCATGGATCGTTACGCGTACCGCGATCACGACTGCTCGTCGTAAACTAGTCAGCGCTAATCTTTTTTGTCATCGATTTCAAATCTCGCCATTCCCCCATCGTTTTACCGTTACCCTGTGAAACGTTGGTGCGGCGCACGGTCGGACGTGCGAAACCAGCGGAGATGTGACTGCCAAAATCGACGGGATCCTGTCGAGTATCCCGTTTCCATCTATATCCAACAGCGGATTCGACCTGCGACGTGCGCCCTTCTGACATTTTAACGTTCGCAGGAACAGCAATCTCTCTAGAACACTAACCGTCTATATATCCGTGTTGGTTTTCCCGCACGCGGTCTTGTCAGATTACATCTCGTGGTTTCCTGTCAATTGAACGATAGTGTCTGATTTCAAAAGTAGCATAACACACATTTTAATCAGTATTGTAATTTAGTAATTCGAATCGTAACGTTACGTTGCGCAAGGATAACACGGAATTAGAACTAATTTTTTTCATTTTCCCCTCCAAAACTTAATACGTTTCGCGAAGTCTCCTTGCGGTTCGTGTGCACATGTGTAGAGTTGATGTACGTGGGTCAGAGAATGGGATATAGGGGAGGGGGAATTAGAAAATGACGATTTTGGTTTCGGAGAAGCTTTGATAATAATGTTTATCACTAACAATATTAAAAAAAAACTGCCACAGTACCGAGACGAAATCGATATTTTTTTTCTCAAATAACACATAATTGTAAATAGAGCCGGATAGATTTTTATTTTGTACTTTTACACTGAACAAGTACGTATATTGTGCCAACTGTGTCCGTGCGATTAATCTACTATTTTGATTAACCATGGAATATTAATGACTGAATAATTTGTTTTTTATTTTTTATATTACATAAATAAGTTTATAGATACCATGTGAACAAAATGTGTGTTGACACACACTGCGTTGTCGTAGGTTATATGATATTACTCATATTGAGTACTTTCGTGATAATGTACTATCATTATTGTGAATAATTTACATTGATTATACTTTATTCTTAAGTTGTTGTCCAAATTTTATTTATTTACATAAAATACATATGAACATATAATATATATATTATGTACTGCTGTGTTCTTAACTGTTGAAACATATTTTGTTGTGAATACGATGTATATTTTTTTCATAAATGTGTGATTACTTTTAAGTGAAAATATAAAGTAACAATTATTATTTTTATACTATTTTTCGTCTTGGTTGTTTATTCATTCGAAATGCTCCCTTCAACGCGGTAAACGACGATAAAATGTATGAAAAATACTCAAGCGGGCACCGGCCGATTGACAGCCATAAGCAAATGTACACCCGATTAGCCCGCGAAAAATTGTTACCAATACTTTTCTCGCATTACACTTTTTGCTGAGTAGGTAATATCAGCGACGGGTCAAGAATTTGCGGGGTCTGGCGCGCAAAATATATTTTTTCATATGAAAGGGTACTGCTCTTAGACACTTGTACTAAATACACGACATTACTGCTGAAACATGGTTTGGTTCATACTAATTCCCCTAAATATTGTCTTAATATTTGTTTAAACTAAATTGTCAAAAAATATACTAGTAAATATTAAAATAATATATAAATATTAATAATAAAAAATTAATCAAAAGTTTATTACCTTATATTATTATCTATATTTAATAAAAATTCTCGCAATGTAATTATATTTTCATTTAAACGAACACACAATGCTTTTAAACGATATTGTATTTTTTTTTTTTACTTGCGTGTTCACCATTTTCACTTAAAACTAATAGTGATTTATCTGTGCTAACCTTCTGTCTCATTTTTCGAATTAGCTTCCTTATGATGGTATGTTTCTGACCGTCAAGATGAGAAAATCTATTGTTTCAACGTTTTCTTTTTTTTTAATCTTTTTAATTTAATTTTAATATTTTATTTTTAATCCCGATTAAAACTATCAAAAACCGTATTGCAATCTTCGCTGTCGTAAAATAATCTGCATAATTTTAGAATTTTGAGCATCGAGAGTGAATTTATAAGATCTCTGGACTTGGATGAGGTTATTAACATTTTATCAAATGAAAAAGCTCGAAAAAAAATAATTATGCATACTTAGATGAAGAGGATAGACAAGTGATTAATTCCAACGATGGCAGTGACTAATTTTATGGTAAATATACATATATTTTAGGGTATTTACTCTTAATTTAAACATTTATTTGACACGATTATATTAAATATTATTTATGTTCGTAAATAAAGTTATATAAAATGAAAACGTTTTTCAATTCGTAGATAGGAACCACGGTTGAGATTTAGGACAGGTGTATACTTTTTTTTTACTCTTTATGGCTAGTTGGGCCCACCCAGTGGCGTAGGAAGTCTCGCTAATGCCCTTGGCAAATTTAGAAAAAAACACTTTTTAACCAAATAAAATTGGAAGTTATGATATTTTTTTTTAACCTTTAATTTTACCATTTTTTTTTGAGTATATAATTTACACTTATAAGCTATTATTACAGTGTTAAATTTAAACTTTGAAAATTTGTTTTTTCTCGCTTTACGACTGGCAAATTCATCGATAATTTCTTTATTTAAATGCAGTGGCGGATTACGCATTTTTTCGCCATGGGGCAGTTTTTTTGGCCCCCCCCTCCCCCGCCACTCCACTAGACAACATAAAATATTTTAACTTTAACTCGACAGCTCACCAAACTTTTGACTACAGTTGTGACCTATATGGATACTTTTTCTTAAAAATGTTTTCAAAAAATTATTTTTAGTAACTTAAAATAAACGAAAATACAGTCAACCCATTGGTTCATAAGGCGCCCTTTTAGACCTGGCGCCCTGGGGCAGCTGCCCCGTGTTGCCCCGTGTGTAGATCCGCCACTGTTTAAATGCCTTTGTGATATTTTCATAATTGTATCATTAAATTCATATATAGTGTGTATAAATAGACAACATCTACGTATTTTAAAAAGTACAATGGATTCTGGCGTGTGTACAGTTCGCCATACCGTAGTTACGCCACTGAACCTATTAACTTACTTATTTTATTATAATTATTTTAATGTTCCTATAATAACATGAAATAATTTATATTTTTTTATAAAAACGGTAAAAACTGTTTATTTAGGCTTTTTAAGGGACAATTGTAAAATCAATTGGATCGTAGATTTAAACATATAAATGTAAACCCAATCTATAACTATAAAATTATATTTTTCCAATATGGGTGTATGGTAAAATGTTGTCTGTATAATTTGTCAGTTAACGATTCTATTAAAGTTTAATATTAAATATATCGATTACTGGTACACCAAGTTATAACAAATACCCAATGTTCTCAAACAACCATGGATTTTTCCAGGCAAATGTACTAATATGCACAACACGTTAAAACATTTAAGGGTACGTGAAATTAATTCCTATAATTGGACTACAATTGCTCGGTTTTCTCAAATACGTATCTTCAGGTACATTCAGGCCTTCCAATCAATTGTTCTTCGCCAATTTACATCTGCCCCGTGGTACGTCTCAAACCCATCTCTACACAAAGACCTGAAAGTTGTGATGTTTTCTATTACAGCCAAAAACTATTAAGAATAAAATTTCACTCCATATCTAACCGCACAAATCCACTAATATCTAACCTAGCCAGTGATTTCGTGTCGGATAACTCGCTCGTTGATTGAAAAGACACTGTTTTCGGGATACCTCCCAATCCCGACTTCTACTGTTGTTATTTTATTTAGACTACCCGAATTTACTTATGTGTATAAACATTACAGATTGTAAATACACTTTTGTTTGAAAAAAAAAAAAAAACAAAACTTAGGATTACAGTTAAAATTTCAATCGAGTACATTATTCTAGGAAAATTAAATCCGCTATTGTACGGAAACGTGTTCCTCATTTCACACAACTATGATGTTGCAACAAATTAAATATGTAGGTATATTTTTATGTTTATTAATTCCAAAGAATCATACAATAACCATGTTTTTCAATACCACGAGAGCCCAAAGTATCACTAGCTGTGCTCAATCTTCGAGGCAGCCAATGTACCACTCGCAAAATTCAAGACGGTGATCAAAATCATCCTTTTGTAATGCGTAAACGAGACGTGAGCGATAAACTTTGTACTTCATTCGTTTCAACATGCGACGCAGGAACCTATCAGAAACGTTTAATTGCTTCAATAGTCGCCAAGCAGACTGATTCCCATCTTCGACAATAGATAGCGCTACCAACTCCATGTTTTTAGGTGTTGTGACTATAATTGGTCGAGCTGTATGTCCCCAGCCACCCACCTCGGACTTTCGAGTTAAAATTTTTACAGTCGTTTGTGTTTCGTTTGTGATTGTTTGTGCTTTTATTCTCGTCGTTTGTGCTTAACCCATTTCCGAGATGTTAAACATTGAAGGAGGGAGGGGCCTAAGGACTTAACCTCCCCACTAACCAATTTTTTATTTCATTTTGATGTGTTCATTTATTCCACGTTTGTGCAGATTTGTGATCAAATTTCAGCAGAAAATTCTGATTTACTTGGATTTTTTTTATAATGACCCACTTTATTTTTTTTTTAATTAATTTGCGTACAAAAATTTAAATATTCGACATTTTTACGTGTATTTTAAAACAATAAGAGCTCTTCTCTCCAAAACCCCGTAGCGATATAATCATTACTGATGAATTTTCATTTTGAAAAAACTTCTATAGTAATATCATAACACGTTTTTAAAACTGTATAAAACCTTTTTTTATTTTGTCATTTTTAAATTTGGGTAGACGTCAGCAAAAATCGTTGTATAGTCGGCATTCAATCGCAAATACGAAACGAGTAAAAATATTTGTTCTTCTTTTGTGTATAAACCGTTGCCAGTAAATACATGTTCCATGTTAATATCGCGTGTAAATGAACTTAGACACACACAACAAACGTTCGTACAGCACACTAATCTTTCCTAAAGGCTTATTACTTGAACCGATAATACCTGTTACCATTGTTATGAGTGCGAACTTCGCACTGTGAAGTAAAGTTTTTCGATAACAAGACAGCGGGAACCGACTTATGCCGCACTCTGTACTACGGACACAGGCCGTCGCCGATCGCACAGTGCCGTTCACCATACCGAACGCGCGTTGTCACGTTAGTCACACTGGAAAACGATGACATCGCCTTGGACACGACGCGCGCTGTTATCGAAACGCACTGCGTTATCATCGCCGGACACGAGCGCAACGATACAGTTGGCACTTTCCAACAATTCGAATCGTACGGCCGACCAATATTGTCGCACCGAGCACGTATCACGGGCACCGTCAACCGAACACCATTTTAATTCGCATCGTCCACTGACCACCCGTCAAACATGATTGGACCCTGTCACTGTGCTGTCGTCGCGTTGTCGTTGTATGCGATGGTATCGGCCGCCGCTGGTTGTAAGTATTCCGTGGACTCGTACACCACTACGGATGCGATGATCGTCACCGAGGCCGCGTTCATCGCCCAGGTCAGTGTCGCCGAGTGCGAGGACCCGCCGTCCAACTTGTACGCCGAGGTGGAAGGCAAGCTGGTAGTGGCCGCCAACGCTGGACCGAACAAGTACCAGGTAACGTAAATCGCGTGACCTCTGCATCCGAACGCTGCTCTCACGTCTTGGTTGCGTTTACAGGTCAGCTGGCTGGATGATTTCAAGAAGGCCCGTCGCGGCGATTACAACGTCAAATTGTACGACGAAGCCGGCTACGGACAACTGAGGAAGCTGTTACGTGACGGAGAATCCATTAGTGGTGTGACACCAGTGCATTCTGCTTACGTACGCTACTCTGGTGCCTACAGGGGCGTGTGGGTTAATTCCGAATTTTTGGCTGCTATTGTGAGTCTAGTGGTTTTGTACTTTGCGTATACATTCAAATCGAAAATTGTCTCCTAATCTCAATTTAAGTAATTTTGATTGTTACAAAGTCTGCTGTTTGGTTTTTATACCACAACTGTTATATTTTTTTTTACATTTTTTTTTTTTTTTTTATGTAATTCATTTTATTTTATAAGTTCTATAATACAGTTTATTATGGTTTAATTAAATTAAATTCAAAGGCTTATGTTTTATTACTACTATAATAAATATGAATATTTTTTTTTCAAATTCTAATATTGAAATTTGTAAACCATTGTTTTTAAATGAACTTCTAAATTATTTAATATAATTTTTTCCTTTAAAAATTGCCTTATTTTTATGACTCATGTAAGATACCAATTAATTATTCAAAGAAAACTTATCAAGGAATCAAGGATGTATATTCATATACTAATAACAGATTTCTAAAGATAATCATTTAAGTTTACTTACTTAGTATTATAAAATATCTTGCTCAACTTAAAACTTAATTTTAAAAATATTAAAAAAATTAATGTGTAAGATACAAGTAGATTTTCCATCACTGCTACTCAAGCAATCTTCAATTAATTTTAATTTTGAAATGATCAATAGATTTTTATTTAATGGATTTAATATGATTGAAATTTTTAATATTCCTGACAATATTGATAGTTTAATTTCAAATTAATTAATTTGAATTGTACAAAAAAATTCTTAATTTCGTTTTTATTAAATTTATAATCCGCTAATATTCACATGAACAAATGTAGTGTGATGTTTAAACATTTTTTATAACTGTTAAAAATTAAATAAGAAAAATAGAAAGTTAGAAATATATAAATATATAAATAAATAAATAAATGATTTTTGTACAGAAATAAATAGCAGTTTAGCCTGGAGTATTATATTTGTCAAGTTTTTTTTTTATATTCAGTCATAATTGTATTGCCTTTGTATATACCTAATGATGAATTTATGAATTTTTTTTTTTAAATCTTTCTAATTTTACAAATATAATAATACTCCAGGATAAGCTTTTATATATTTATTTATTTATTTATTTTTATATTAATTTACAAGGTAGTAATATTTTTGATAATTTTATAAAAAGTGTAATCATTGGTAAATAAGTATAGACATGCTTTAAATTAATACCTGAAAGTATTTACATTTGAGTAAATGTATAATCACAAATTTGGATTTTTAACATAAGTAATGATATTACTTAATTAAAGCATTAATTATATTTCAATCTGTAAAGAAGCCTGTAATCTTATTAATCACTGACTAGTTTGTTACTTATTACTTGAAGTGTATAATCTTAAGGTAAATATTTATAAATTATTGTTACCGATTTTTTATTTACAAATGGTTTGTACATTATTATTTTCTTTCATTCATTTTTGTTAGAGTTCATCAGAAAACATTAAACAAGTTACAAATTATAGCAATCTTATAATATTAAAGTAATTAATAATAGTAAATTTATATCAATACAATTTTTTATTCTATGATATATAAATATTCAGTTTTAATGACTTAAGTCACTATGCATATTATAAAAATTATTAATTTAGTTCATAGTAACTAATGTAAAAAGAAAAATTACTAGCATCTAATATACCTATTAAATATTTATTACTCCGATTTAATTTTTTTTTTATATGTATAATAATTATTTTTTGAAATAAATACTTAAATATAAACTAAGATGAAAATTACACTAAGGATATTCTGTTGGTTAAATTTAATTAAATGTATAAATTGGTTTGTAATTAATGAATTACAAGTTATTACAAACATTTCTATGATGTACTATGATTATTTCAGGTGCTGTAAAAATCAATTGTGTTTTAAATTCATAGTTTAAATAGTATTTTATAAAAAATATAATACTATTAGTATAATCTAACCTTCTCTAGAATCAAGTTACTTAATGTAATTTTATTATTAAATACATTTTTAGTAAAAAATTAAACAGCAAAATAAGTGAGCAATATGAAAAAAAAAATTATTATACATATTGATGTAGAAAGATGTAGGTATATTTTAAGTTATTACATCATTTTTAACATTTCGTTATTTCGGATTGATGTTGATATAATTTATTTAGGTAAATTGAATAAACTAGTATGTTATGTTATATTATATAATAAAACCTATATTTTATAGGTTCCCTAAAGAATAACTACACAATAATTGTTGCTTATAAAATCAAAACCTTAACTAATTTAAATTGATCAGCTATAAACTGATTTGAAAATTATTTTCTATAAAATTTTTCCAAGTAAGGAAAAAAAAATGTTATACTGTAATCAAAAGATCCTAGCCGTGGCTGAACTTCATTCATAGCGGTAGCTCAGTTTTAGAATTGTGTTACATTCGTTATTCCAAAACAAGTCTATTACACCCAAGACTGTAATTTATTTTTTAAAATGGTGGGGTTGTAAACCTTCCAATGAAATATTTATATTGTTTAGAAAAAAGTTTGTGGTATCATTTAATAATGTACAGTACACGTATTTTACAGCATATCTACACACTATTGTAAAAAAACCCTTCTTTTAAACTTAACTTAAGAAATATTATTTATTCATGGCTTTAGGCCCTGGTTTATACCATCTAGCAAAACAATTTATTTACAAATTGCGGTCTCGTCCTCGTATGGATCCTTCTTTTTCCTTTTTATCCATACTCACAAAATCTCAATTGCAGAAAAAATGGGAATTATTGATAGGTATTAATTACAACGTAATGTATTTAGTTCAGTAAATTATTCGGTTGTTATAAGACTTCTGAGTTGCCGCGTTTTAATAACAACATATACAGGCGCGAATGCAGAGGGTTTATAAGGTTCAACCACCCTTCCTGAAATTGAAGTTTTTTTAAATAAAAGAATTGATCTAAAAATGTAATAGTTATTTCAATGTTTTCCACGAGACTTACAGATAAAAACTATATAGTATATAATAAGTAATAAAGCATTTATCAACATTTTTAAAAAAATTCTTGAAATATTTCCTGCGTTCAGATTTGAATACATAAGTAATTTATTATAAGAAACTTGTACCATCCAATGACACCTAGATGTTTTTTGTGACATGTACTTAAAAGAAAAAAAAAAAAAGAAGAAAAATAAAATCAACTATCCTATAGGTATTGTTACCATTAATAGATTAATGACAGCGATCTGATGGTGGTTATCTTGCAAGCACTGCCCACAGACATATAATAGTATCGTCGGTTCTGTCTTCCGTATGGTCTGTAAATTCCCCGCTTGTTGTTTAGTCATTAGATTCTCATTACTAATAATGTATCGGTAAACGTCTGAACGGACCAAATCTCTTCGGTAATTTATGATGGAACGTAGGACATTAACGCCCCGTAAAAAATTGTAGACTGAAGTTTTTCGCTATTTTCCCCTTACGGTTAATTTAACGGAATGGAAAAAAATAAATCACGATACCGCAATTATTTAATTTAAGTTAAAAATTATCATTCTTAGAGAAAACGGTGCGGGACTGTGGTACTTCTCCTCCTGTATTACTTTTGCTCGCTTACAATATGTTCGGGATAATTATGACGTTAAAAGTATAAAATACCGAACGGACGAAACGTACTTTAACATATTAAGAATGAACACCAATGTTTCAATTGTATGGTAAGCCGTATAGAAGTCTACAACTAGCCATTTGGCTTTATCAAGTACAATAGGTCAAGCTTTATCGTAATGATTTTTTTCCAACTGCGCGAATAAAATATATGTACAGGGAGGGGGAGGCTTCGTCCCACACTAATTTTATTGATTCTGACGAAGCAAATGAAGAATAGCCAACATCAATTGCACTAATCAATTATTCAAACGATTCGACGTCATAATATTTGTACTATAAAATATGAATACCCAAATAAGATAATTACATTTTTTTGAAAATAATTGTTCAAAAGAAACTAGTGACGGCTCAGAAATTTTGAGTAGGTAAAGATTTATAAGCAAATAATATCTAAACTATAAAACATATAAGATGGAAATAACAATTCGATGAAAATGTAAGTAGAAATTTGATGGCGAGCGCAGCAACCGATCTATTTTTAAATTATCTACTCGGGCCGATCAAAACATTTAGCCCTTTCTATTAAGAACTGAAATGACACAACTGGACTGACGCAAGAAATGCTATTAATGTAGGCGCCGCACTACCAACGACCGCGATGGGTTAACGTCAACAAGTATAACACGAGGACAATTGCATTTCAATAAAAAGTCTCTTTTACAGGTAGGCGAATCCGACACTAGTTATTGACACTAGTTATATAATTTTTATTGATAATAATTTTTGCTGATGTACCAGAGGCTATTCTTAAGTGGACTACGATACACTTTATTTTACATTCGTCACTTCCGCCATTGTTTTACAAAACCGAATTGACATACACAATTGTTGCGCATTCCAAAAAAATAATCACTGCAATACGCCATCACGCCTACCTACAATAATTCGTACACGAGTCGCCGAAAATTAAAAATAACAATAATATAACATAATATAAGACCATACTTATCGAAATTAATCGATAATTTTACTTTGACGTGAATGACATGCCCGTGAATGATGCAAAACAAACTGTTCACTTGTTGCGTTATCGCAATTAAATGGAAAAATAAATGCAAACGTGGTATACACACATACGGTAGAATCAAGAAGTAAAATTTGTAGAACAACAGACGCGTACCTAGACGTTTCGAAAGAGGAGTGTTGTTCGAAATTAATCGTCAAAATAATACACAACAAAACGAGATGATGTATACTTTATTGTACAATCATGCAAACACATTATTACATTACACATGAATAGATATTCGTGAGTGGGATGTACTTTTGTACGAGAGTATCGTGAAACGAAATTGTCGGCACGGCAAGTGCCCTACTAACAGTAGGAGACAATCTTGTATTCGGTAGGAGGCAGAACATGTTTTAAGTAATTTTCACTAGGTGGCACTTCAGTAAAATTGTCTGCCGTCGTAGTTCGTATACTAGCGCCACGTACTTTGTATGTTGTAACGGAACAGCCGTCACCGCAAAAAACGGTCCTTGTCAGGACCACCAATCAGCGAACAGTGGTATAGTACAAACCCCGCAACCAACATTAAGGTAAAAGCCTCAAACAACAAGGATTATACATAGGGGAGAGTAAGACAAATCCAACGACACCATCCTTACGTCGATAACTCCAAAAAAAAAATGCAAGTTACAGAACTTCCCGTACCACCTGAAAACACAACTGTACACGGCGGCAGCAGATGGTTTAATAGTCGGTACGGGAAACTATTTATCTACTGGACGATTTAGCAAGTCTTCGGTAATCCTTCAAATAGTTTAAACCTACATACACCGAACTACAGAAGGAATCAAGACATCGAATATCACACCAGAGAAGCCATGGGCATAGCGGCGAATATCGTCAGTGCATTTTATAAGGGATTTTCACTGGGCGACAAAAAATGTTTTTCTCAATATAGTCAATGTAACACCATAGTACGATTATAGTATTACACGTTTGTTTCGCATTATTTCGCCCAATCTTTCAAAATATTGTCGACAGAGTATAATCACTGGGTGACATTTATGTCGCCTAGTTAACTAGTTAAAAAATGTACTGACACTCGTTGACACGAGGCGGCAATTGACAATCACTACTACTACGACGAGACACGGAGTTCCGCACTGAAACTTGCGTACGATTACCAGCGGCTTTACACGCAGTTTTTGTATCGCTCACGGTCGATCTACCATCGCGACAGATAACAAAAGGTTCTTCTTAGAACCATCGATCTAATCTTCCACCTTGGTGTGCCTGCTTGGGTGGATATTCACTGTGAGATCATTATCAACCTAACTCGTCCCAGCTTGGTTATTATATAATTTTTGATAATATTAATTAACGTCACAATATTTTAATGAATTTAATAATTATGGTTTTTATGAGTAGTGTTAACATAAATATTCTTAAAACAAGGGAAATCACTATTTTTCTAAACTAATTAACTAATTTTTAGCATATATATATATTTCACAAAAAATATTATAACTGTATTAAAATCAAAAATGAAATATTAGAATGTAAAAGCATATTAAAACAAACAGTGTAAATTAATACATAAATTATTAACGATTATGATTCATATAGAGATTTATCCGGTTTTATTCAAAAGCTAAAAACTATATAAAAAATAATTGTATTAATATATATGTTTTATCTTTAGGATAAATTCCATATAAATACGTTCGATATATCATAATTTTACGAACACATTATGTTTGAGTAAACGAGTGGTAAAAAATATTTAACACTCAATTTCGGCACAAATTTCATAAAAAATAATATTCATACACGTGTAAATATTTGCAATCCCAAAACTTTATTTATAATACATTCACCTACATAAATTCAAAATCACAATTTTTATTTATGAGGACAAAATATCACACATGATTAGAATAGTGAAAAAATGAAATGTTAATACATTACAATGCTAAAAATTTGCCAGAAAAAAGTAACATGCGTGAAATCTAGAAAATTGTTATAGATTTTAATTGGGATATAAAACTACTTATTAAATAATGCAGTATGTACAGCGTCTGCATCGTAAGTAACGTAGACTGAAGGTTTATACATATCAATAGCACGTGAAGGCATTCTGCGACTTTTTCTAGAACAAAATGTAATACATCATTAAAAAATATAATTATAATTATAAATAGTAATAATAAATGTTATAAAATCATATATTATAGACGTTAAGAGTTTAATATATATGTTTATTAATTTAATATTCCGATTATTTATCCAGGCTAGAGATATTGATCCAGTTGTATTAGATCCAACATTTCTTAGCATATCACATTTATACAACATTTCTTACCATATCACACTTCATAGGCCTGCCATCAAGCTTCCTGTTGTGATATACATCAACTGCTTGAATAGCATCTGCACGACGTTCATATATCACTTCTGCAACACCTGGTTGAACTACTCTAGACTCTAATAATTTACCAATATCAGAAAAAAGTTCCTAAATAAGAAAGTAAAAAAATGTATTATCAATCTCAGTAAAAAAACCAGTATTAAGTTATTTTATACTATAAAGTTTTAATAAAATTAAATACATACTATTATATCTTCAGATGTAACAGATGGTTCTAAATTAGAAATAACAATTTTATGGCCAGAGTGATATGAACGCTTAGCCATAACTATTTGACGAGAATCTAATCTTGAACGTAATGTTTCACTTATTAATCCTCTATGATTCCTTAAATAATTTATAAATTAATTAATTAGTACTAATTATAATATTAATATTATTAATATTATCAATATATTAATGACATTATATCAAGTAATATTTTTATAAATAATAATTATTTATTCTAGTATAACTTGTTATTAATTATGGCAATTAATAACTAAAATTATTTTAACTCATGAAACTTTTGATAAAATTATATTTCACCTTGAGTTTCTGTCTAATAAATCATCTTCATATCCATCACGATTGAACATTGCATTTCCTCCTATGTTCCGTCTTCTCATTACCTATAATATAATCAAAAATACAATAAACTGAAAATTTTAATTTAAAATGTATCTTATTTACTGGGGTCGAAGAGTATCTACTGGTTTCTTTCCAATCCATTGTCATAGGCCTATTATATGGTTTTTGATTTATTCTTGAAGGTCTAGTAGAACTCTCAAAATGTTGTCTCATAGACTGAGCATTTGATATTGAACGTCTTGAGATTTGCATATCACGTCTCATTGGTCTTATTTCTTCAATTGGTCTGTAACCTTATGTTAAAAATACAGTCAATAATAAAGTAATCAATAACAATTCAAATCTAAATATTTGACTTCTAAATGTATTCAGCTCAGAATTGAATGTAATACTATTACGTCTTTTTTCTACACCATCAAAACGTCCTTGATTTATAGTAGGTCGTCGGTCACGAACACTTGAATGATGTGAAGAGGCTCCTTTATCTAAAATAGTCTTAACGGTAAGAATACCATGACGGTTAATTTTTACATGACCAAAGTTATTGGAAAATCCTCTTGAAGTTCCCATACTATGCGTACCCTAATAAAACAATAAGAAACATTATGTATTATTATTTAATAAAAAATTACTTAAGATTAAATTTAATTAAATTGCTATCATTATATCTATAAGATGTATAAGTATATGTAATATATATAGTAATAGTATATGTATATACTATTAATAGTATTAATAATATAATACTAAAAATTGATTAGTTGTAAAATTATTTAAAGTTATATAAAATGATAAGAAAATTGTCATATTCCAACAGTCTCAGAAATAATGTTTAAAAATATAAAATTAAAAAGTTACAATAAAGATAAAAAGAAAAAAATAAAGGTAAGAAAAATAAATTTTGATTAAGTATAAATAAATATAAATTTAACCACCAAAAGTATAGGCAAAAAATTATTGATTGTTAATACATTATATTAATTTGAGTAAGCTTGTCAATATAATATGAATTGTAAAAAATTGGTCTAAATAGAATTTGCATCTTAAAAATGGAATTGTATTGAAAAAAAAAATTGTCTTAAACTCGGTTAAAGATTATTTTTTGTAATTCATAATGAAACAAGTTTATATTAATATATCAATCTAAACATATAATGATTTTTTAATACATCCTACATACCTACTATTGAATTTGGTAAATAATGGCAGTAGCTAATAAATGTAATAACTTATTTATATTGTCAGAGAAAAAATATTATTACAGTAAAAACCTAAAAGAATAAACATGTGAGTAGACCATATACCTAAAAAAACAAAAATAGGCCTCAAATGTAATTAAAACCTTTACTTAAGATATTAACCTAAAGAACGTTTAGTATATGTTTATATGTATTAAATAATACAATAGATTAAGTTCTATTTAAACAAAGTAAGAGTAGATAATATAACTATAAATTCCAAAATTTACATAATCTACAATTCATATTAACCTGTTTTTACTTATCCATTTACTAAATTTAACATAAATTTACAAATGATCATTAAGCCGATATAAATATGCCTATAACTCTTTTTAAAATCCATAAAATGAAACATAAAAACTCTAAAAAAATATACAAGTATTTTAACATTGATATCAACACAAAAAATATTTAAAAATACACAACTTAACTGATATTTGAAATATTATTGATCAAAAAATCAATTTCTTTTTAATTCAGTATTAATGTATTCATTAAAGATGCATAAATACTAACTACTTAATTCTATTTGTTAAATTAGTATACTAAATCAATGCTTATACATATTATAGAATTGAAATATGCAGTTTTTTTCATGAATATAGTTTAGTGACTTACATCATAAGAGGATGATTGTAATCGCCGTTCTTGGATTTTTTTACGAGCATCTTTCTGTTTTGTCAGTTTTTGTCTGGCATCTACCACTACATTAGGTTCTTCTAAAGCTTTTTGTAAAAGTCTAATACGGGCATCTTTTACATTTTTGGTCACTTTTGCAGCTCTATTGGCTGTAGATAAACGTAAACGATTATGAGGACCAGATTGCAGTGATTTGGTACGCCTGAAATAACAATTTAACTAATTTAAATTGCTTATTTAGCACATGGGTTAGAAATAACAAATCAATGTTTAAAAATATAAAAATAAAAATTTGAGTGGGAGATCGTCGGTTAAGTGTACAGTAACTTAAACGAATTGATCCAGACATTCGTTCAGTTGTGAAGCGACAGTTTCGGATCAAAACTAGATGACATTTTATCAATCATTATATATTTACCCTCCACGATCTTGACCATTCTGCGATCGCTTTCCTTTTATAAACTTCATAATGAAATTAACTTCTGGTTACTGACACCGAATACAAACGGGCGTTTGATGCGTTACACCACGAACGACGACTGTTAAACACGGTCGACTATGTGTACGAAAACGGAAGACGACTGGGTTTACGGGAGTCAAACGAGTGAACTAATGCAAACGTCATAAAAGTAAATAATACGGTAAATGAATAAGTTAGACGGCGATAGACGAGAGAATAACAATTCCATCGATACGAAGGAAAACAACAGAAATTGAAGTAGCCAAAATGTTTGTTTTAATTCGGGATGTGATAGGAACACATTATATAAACAAAAATGAGTATTGAAATATATATTTTTGGTAAAATGTAACTGAACTGTATCACCCTAGTATCACAACTTTTCCAAATGTCCGTCCTAAATATTTGGCCTATAGTATGGAGTTCACAATTTTCTTATAAATGTACGTTTTTCTTCTTTCATTACAGATATTTAGGTAGTGGATATGATCAGATAGATTTACACTTGTCGTACAAATACGACTATCGGTATGATTTTAAGAAAAGTATGCAAAGCATTCGGGAATGTTTACGCGCGGAGACCTTTCCTGATTTTTACACAAGAACGCTGGAAAGAAATTACTCAAGGTTTTCAAAAATATGTCCAATGTCCATTTTTCGAATTGCTTAGGCGCGATTTATGTACGATTGCACGTACGAGTTAGAAAACTAAAAAACAGTAGGTCACTATTCTACAGTTAAAAATTTTTTTTCAATTGTATTGCTAGCAATTGTCGATGCGAATTATAAATTAATTTATATTGATATCAGGCATAGATCTAGAACTCTAAATGGGGGGGGGGGGGTCATTTTTTCGAAAGGACAAAAATATAATACACAGTTACAAAATAATAAAACTAAATTATTAATTAAAATTAGAACGTTATTAATATATGAAATTGTTAATTTTTAATATTAAATAACAAAGTTTAATCTTCTTTATTTTCTTTTTCCAAATGTAGAAATAATACTATCAACATTTATGGGTATATTCTAAGCAAAGCGATTCGATGAAGCGTTTCTATATTCCTCTCCCATGGTTGAACGAAGCCATGTTAGCATTGCGACCCTTTTTTACCGATGTGTTTTACTAGACGCGACATTTCGCTGCGATTTTGGTAGTTACATTAACAGTTCACTTGCAGATCTGTCCAAGTACAGATGTGTTCAGGTGTAAATTGTAGTTAGTACAAATAAGTTTAGTTAATACAGTATTTTTAAATTATTATGGATCCATTTATTGAAATATGCATTAATCATAATGATATTTTGACATTGTTATCGGACAAAGAAGACAAAGAAATTTTTTCTTTTCATCTAAAATCAAAAAAAAAAAAAAAAAGAAACAGATTATACGTTCATATATCACGATATACTGAAGGATTTTATGAACTTTTAATTAATAGACATTTAAAAAATAATAACATTAAATTTCCCGAATTTTTTCGAGTTAATATTGAGCAGTTTGATTATCTATTTTCTTCGGTCGAAAACGAAATAACTTTACCACCCCAAATAATAGAAATAAAATACCAATTTCAGCAGCGAAAACTCTAAGTCATTCCAATTTAAATTTCATCATCCGACGGGGACAGCACTAATCTTGACGACATGCTGTAATACGACATGTCGCCTAGGTACTACTTTCGGAGCGGTAGTGTCATCGGCGACTTTAAGTTCTTAACGTGTCGCGCCATGGAAAACGTACCTGAACACAGTCACATGTGAATATCGGTCCACCATATCTGTTCGTATTGCGTTAAGTCTTTGCAGTCGAAGGCGAATTATATCGTTTTATTGTTGAATAACACTGCAGTGTGCCGTGTCTAAGGCGAATGAATTAATTTTATTTTTGTATCATTTGTTATTTTATACATAACACTGCGGTGTGCCATCAAAAGCTAATTACTTCATTACATTTATTATATCAATTATTATTGTATGTATAAGCACTGCGGTATGCCGTCGTAGGCAAATTATTTAAATACATTTATTTATATTTGTTATTGCATGTGCCAAACAGGCAACATATTTATATTGTATTATACAGTCCACTAATTATTATTGTTCACAACCTTTGTTTTTTTTATATTATACGGTCCACTAATTATTGTTGTTCATAACCTTTGTTATATTTCAATTATGCAGTCCACTTATAGCTTTAATTTATTTGTTTGATTAATATTATTTTTTACTCGTTCTTATTATTGAACTGCGAACAAGATTGTCTCCTACTGTTGGTAGGCACTTGCCGCGCCGACAGACACAAAAACACGGTTTTAGATTATTAGACAAAATATTACAACAAGAAGAGTTCCGGTTTTAAATTATTTCTATCGTAATATTTATATATTTCGCTACGATAAATATGTGTTCATTACGGTTTATGATGAATCTTTTTAAGGCTGAAGTATAACACGGTAATTGTGGGGAGATTAACTTCACCTGTAACACCACCCTTGGCTACGCGCTTGATCGACATCAATCGGTGATAATGTGATTGTGATATAGCACTTCTATTTTTTAAATATCAAAAGTCACATTGAGTAGTAAACAAATATATTCAAAACTGGATGCGCCTGTTGTCAATAAAAATTTTTTAACACGTTCAACGGCGATGATGATGCGTGTAATTACCAGTCGATGTCGTGCGATTAACCGCAGATTTCACGTAATAAAATAATTGACGCGTTATTTTAAATACCTTCGGCAAAGTAAGTTTTGTAGTACTCCTCAAGTCCGCACATATTCGCTAAGTCGACTGCACATTTTGTTTTTTCTAATGCACATCTAGTGTCCTGCTGTACCTAACAATAAAGCCAACAATAGATCACGATTTTTAAACCACTCAGTTCGAAACATAGATCATTAATAGCACAAGTTCGCATTTATTATAATTATTTCGTATTTATTTTATGAGAAGATTGTGACATAAATATCTACCGTATTTAGGCAGTCTGAAAACATGCCAATATTATATTGGTATTGTTAAAAATGAAGAAATCATTTATTTAATTTTTTTAATATTTTATTAAAGGTTATTTCTAGTTAAAAGTTAATAAATTGCTTTGGATTTACTTAGGTCGACCAAAAATAGTTCAAACTAAAACGGTGGGTAACGTTACACTGATTTTGAATATTTCTAAGTTCTTACATTGTTGTGTTGGTCGTAAATATTTTTATGAATCTAGAGTCATTTGAAAGCATCGTATAACAATCCTGAGTGAAAGTCGCAAAATTGTTTTTTTTTTTTACGTAATGAATTATTTTTATATTTAGTTAAAATTACATTTTTTAAAACACAAATGTCAATATTTATTCAATACTAAGTATTTTTAAAAAGTGATTTAAACATTATTACCACGTTTAAACAAATCAGTCATATTTTAAACTTAATAATTTACATAAAAAATTGTTAGGATTAAAACTTAATCTTTTTAACACTCAAGTAAAACGATTTATGAATTTAATAAAATAAGCAAGAAGCATCATTGCAAAATAAAGTTTACCATACTGGCGTTGATCATCAGAATCTTTAATATAAATGATTTACAGTTCACAAAAATACACCCATTATAAAAGTTAGGTATATAAAATGAAAAAATAAAATAAAAACGCTTTCACTATGTAGATTGCAGCAAATAATGAAATTTTTAGCAATGGTTTGTGAAATTAATTTCTTACGTAACAACCATGATGATAGTGTATAAATATATTTATACATATTGTATGTGTGTGTGTGTGTGTGTGTGTGTGCATGTGTGTTTGTGGGAAACTTTAATCATCATAAGAATTTAATAACGGACTTACGAATGACTAAAATTAAAGTTCTACTATCTTAGAGATAAAAATAAAAAAAGCCATGTCGCTACGACTAACGTTCTAAAAATGTTAAATGGCGTTCCGTTTAGGCAATTTCGGTACACTCGTGACAATAAATGATTTTTTTCTTGAAACATACTGTCACGCGGTATATTATTTAACCACGACAGTTTCATTTTTTACATTTTACGCTTTTGACCATCACTGTTATTATTATTTGATGGTATTACACTTTTCTTTTCTTTTTTTTTTTTTAGAGAAATATATTAATAATCAAATCAGAATAACTATTAGGATAAAAATAATATAATAATTTAAATCATTTTGTTACTGATACAATAATTAAAACTGTTCAGATGACTTGATCGAGATAACTTAAATTCAAATGTTTTATTCGTTAATTTTGAATTTTATGTCTACATTTAAAATGAACGTCACAAGTCCGAAATATCTATTGACGTTGTAAAGTAAAGAAATAAAGCTTTCAGCCAATTCGTGGATTGATATCAAGAGAGTTTTTATTATCTTACACAATGATTCTTTTTTATGTTCAAGTCCAAGTCTTTATCACTATCACATCATACAATTTTCAACTGGTAAAATATAATAACGGACCGAGGCGAGGAAAGTGTAGTCGATAAATATTATATAAGCGGCAATTTATTTATGAAGTGTGAAAAATAATTTTTCGCGGCAGTTGAATTGAAAATCGAAAACTGATGAAAAATCTGAAAATGCAAAAATCTAATAAGTTTTCTCGAAAATAGTAGTGTATCATATTATTCTGACTTTTTGTCGATACCGATTGATTACCGATGTCCCCATACTCTCTGAGAACTACAGTCTAAACGAATATTCTAGATCAGTGGTTTTCAACATGGGGGGGGGGGGGTGATTATACGTGCTTACATATTTAAAGTGTATATTTAAGAGCTAAAAAGTAACATTATCAATGTTACTATTTCCGAGCCCTTGTAATACTATATAAGAATCTGAATATAATATAACATATAATAAATTATTTTTACTTTGTCGAAAAAAAAATTGGCATTTACATAATGCTTAGATATTTTATAAAATACCCGAACTATCCATATTGTCTGTAACATAGATAACATGTAATCCTCTTCATGCCACGACAGAAAGT